ATTTAAAATTGTCTTACTGAAGACTAAATCAGAAAACTGTTCAGTGAACATGACAAGAACTACTTTGTTAAATAATCACTAAATAAGCACTTCAGTTTAGCTTATGTTGGAGTTTGTTAAAATTGCATATAAAAATTAGGCATATGATTTTAAATTGCCTGGCATTTGACAGAGAGCTGTAAATGGAGCATATGAAAAGATAAGTTGTGGTTGTGTCTGTGTTTGTGACGCTCCTGTTCGGGACGGGCCCATCCAGAGGAGGGACCGGAGGGAGGAGCAGCGTGGTGCCGTGACGTAGGAAAGGAATGAGGGAGTGAATGTTCCGGGTCACAAACTGGACGGGAGAGGAAATTAACTCCGGGACGAGACGAGGGAAAGGGAAAATATAAATATAAAGAGAGGGGGGGAAGAAAAGAAAAAAAAACGTCGCAGAATGCCACCCTGCGAAAGACTGAGATGTAACCCGTGTTATTTACGACCTAAATAGGTGTTCTGAAAGCGACGAGAGCCGAGGAGGAAACCCACAGGTGCCAACTCCAAAAGTGGGACAAGCGACGGCGGAGAGTTTGTTCTCYTGACGAACATTCAGCTCGGTGGCGGCTCCACGGGCGGAGTTTCCATGCATTTTTTTTTTCTTCTGAGTTTTGTTTCGCTTGTGTTTTGGCGGTGAACTGAGTCCAGGACCGTCCTGTGCGGCGATCTGTTGCATCCCCCTACCCCCCCCTTCCCGTTTTGTTTATCGCAGATTTATTCTCCACCCCCCCGCTTCCTCTCCTCTCCAGCCGTGATGTTTCACTGCATACCCCTGTGGCGGTGCAACCGTCACGTCGAGACGGTCGATAAACGCCACTGCTCCCTGCTYTATGTTCCCGACGAGATTTATCGCTACTCGCGGAGTTTGGAGGAGCTGCTGCTGGATGCCAACCAACTCCGAGACCTGCCCAAGGTAAGGAGACAGAAAACAGGCTTTCTGCGCAGGTTCTGGGTTCAGAACGGAGCCGGGTTTACTAAATAAACGTCTCCATCCGGTGAAGTGGTTCTGATAAAGCTGGACAGGATCAGACATCCTGTCAGAGGCTCCGGGGGGACCTGCAGGGGACAATAATTACGCAAGATCAGCACAGGGCAGACTGATGGTGTGTGGGTGGAAATTTTACCCAAGAATGCACCTTTCACCACAGGTTAACTAAAAAGACGAACCAGCTAAAAGAAATAGCCTTTTTAGATGTCTGAAACATTCAAACATACCTGAACATGTAATGAGTCAAACCTGATGCAACAGAAGCAAGGTTAGTTTTGCCAAGTGTCTAATAAAATGGAAAAAAAATGTCACTAATACATCTTCATTATTTAGCTCACTTTCTGAGGGTTTAAAATTTCCACTAACATTTTATTGTTATTGCTCACTGTTTTTACATTATATGTATATAATTCCCTTCTCACCCTCCGCGGGTGGTCTCTTTCATCCTCTGAGCTCGGGTCCTCTACCAGAGGCCTGGGAGCTTGAGGGTCCTGCGCAGTATCTTAGCTGTGCCTAGAACTGCACATTTCTGGACTGAGATGTCTGATGTTGTTCCTGGGATCTGTTTTAGCCACTGCTCCAGTTTGGGGGTGACTGCCCCGATGACCACAGGCATCACTGTGGTCTTCACCTTCCAGGTCTTTTCCAGTTCCTCTCTGAGGCCCTGGTATTTCTCCAGTTTCTCATGCTCCTTTTTTCCTGATGTTGTGGTCACTTGGTATTGCGACATCCACCACAACGGCTTTCCTCTGTTCTTTATCCACCACCACAATGTCCGGTTGGTTCGCCATTACCATCTTGTCTGTCTGGATCTGGAAGTCCCACAGGATCTTAGCTCGGCCATTCTCCACCACCTTTGGGGGTGTTCCCCACTTCGATCTCGGGGCTTCCAGTCCATATTCTGCACAGATGTTCCTGTACACTATGCCCGCCACTTGGTTATGTCGTTCCATGTACGCTTTCCCTGCCAGCATCTTGCACCCTGCTGTTATGTGCTGGACTGTCTCAGGGGCCTCCTTGCACAACCTACACCTTGGGTCTTGTCTGGTGTGGTAGATCTGAGCCTCTATTGCTCTGGTGTTTAGGGCCTGTTCCTGTGCAGCTAGGATAAGTGCCTCTGTGCTGTCCTTGAGTCCAGCTTTTTCCAGCCATTGGTAGGATTTCCTGATATCAGCCACTTCAGTTATTTGTCGGTGGTACATCCCATGTAGGGGCTTGTCCTCCCATGATGGTACCTCTAGCACCTCGTCTTCTGTTCCCCATTGCCTGAGACATTCACTGAGCACATCGTTAATTAGCTGGCCAATGGAAGAAAAAAATATATATAAACACTAAATGTTAAATTTACATGTTTAAAAATATGTTGGCTATATCCTAAATCTAAATGTGCAAAAGTTAAATGTTGAAAATATTTYGGAATGGAATGCAGCCTTTGTTGGTGCGCTCTTCTTGTTAGGAYGTCATCATCCTGAGACAATAGCAACGGCTAATGTTTGAATGCAGCTAAAGCTTCTTTACAAAACAGCAAAACTGCAGTTTTGCGGTGTCTGAGCTGCACTTTATACTTCCAGACCTCAGGCTCCWTCCATTTTGTTTTCAGTAAATGCATTTTGAATCTAGATTTTAAATACCATACTTTGTTAGAAGTGTTAGCAGCGATTAGCATTAGCTAACCGGGATGATGTCGTCTTCCTGCGACAAATGTGTTAGTGACATTTTTAAACATTTAATTTTACACTTGGTGACTCATACGTTTTGTTGTTAAAACTTTATGATAGAAAGACAGAAAATATACAGTTTGTATTGTGTCCTGGTGATAAAAATAATAAAAACTCTAGAGCTCTGTAACCACGTTGAAATTTATTGTAAAACCACATAAAACAGAACATAGGATTAGGGGTGTAACAATACATCGATTCACATCGATACATTGATTAACCGATTCAGTTACACTGGGGCAAAATGAAAAAAAAAATCGATCCATATCGTCATCATGAGCCCAATGTGGATTAATAAAATATGTCCATCTAACAAAATCATTTATGGTAGATGGACATATGATATCGCATCATATTGATCGCAAACTTGTAAACAGAATCAGCCTCATATCTAGACAGACTTTGTGATATTGAGAAAAATTGTACCGTATTTGTCATCCAAACAAATCGATGTAATATCTTGTGATAAATCTGGTGATTGCACCACTAGTATAAATGTAGATATTTAGGAATTGTCTTGTCTAACCTCATGAAAATCCATTATTTTGAATTATATTTTAAGTTATTTAAGATGTTTTTGAACACTCTTCCTATTTTACATTATTACTATATTTCAAAAATCAGTTTTAGGCCTATATTTATATAGGTGATGTGTAACTTTCTATTGAAAAAAAAACCCCACAATCTTAGTTGGGTTTTGACTGGTTACAAAAGCTCTAACTTCTGCTATTGTTTCCAGTCAGGCTTGTCTGAAGAGTTTTTTTCCACATACTTCTAAGTCAAGCTAAAGAAATGTGAAAAATCCAGGTTGTGTCACTTTTGGTTAATAATCATRTGACTAAAATAGTTTATCTTGACCAGGTTTAAATTATTGCTGCAAGTATTTCCTTTGACCTGTGTATAAACAGCTTTATTAAACCAACAGAACATGGCATCTCTAGTTCCTTTTTCTGTAACTGTGTAACACCTACTGTCTAAATTTAACACCCATGCATCTGTTGACTTTAACGCTGTGGATTTAAATGTAAAACCAAAGAGAACACTGTCAGAGTACGCATTTTTTTTTTGTTTAAGACGAAAAACGCTGAGAGCCTAAACTTCAAAAGTGAAGGATGACAAAAACCAAGTTTCTAAGATCAAAAAAAGTTTAAAAATTAAATGAGTAGAATAACTCAAATCAGTTGTCAACTACGATAGTTTCTACAACACATTATGTTCAGCTAACATTTCTTTGTTGTGACAAGACGAACTAAATCATAATGGTTGCTGTGGTTAGTTGATTAGTTGCTTAGACATTTTGTACTTTATGCAGTTAGCACATTTTTCACCAGTGAATCAATTCACCATCATTTTTTCAACATGGACTCTATAAAGAAACTAAGAATCTTTTAGGCCTGACATGATCATAAGAATAGATTCCGATTCAGATGCAGGTCATATTATCTTTGAACTCAACAAAGAAATACTACAAAGCAAAAAAAGGAGGGCCTTTTATTTTTACTACTATGATACCAGGATGTTGGTTACTGTTTACAGAGACTTTTCCAAATTACATGTAGCTACAAGTTCTCTGTCGCAGTGATTCTATTTTGGTTTAACAGAAACCACAGAGGACTGCAGGCGACTAGGCTTTGAGAAGTCAGGATATACAAACTTGGCCTTCTTCGCGTTTAGTGCTCCTGTTTGTGTTGTGATTTATTTCATTTCATATTGACATACTGGTAATTACATTTTTCAAACACTTAAAGGCATAATCTGGTTATTTTTGAAGTAATGTTCTGTCAGATAATACTTTTATCATCTGTGGCATCAGTCATGGTACAGASTGGGGCAGAAATTTTCATCCAGGCTAGGCTAAATGTGTCACTTTCTTAAATCATTTTTCAGTCCTATAAAAATAACATGTGGCATTGATGTTACTATGTGAACATAAGTATAATGATCAATCATGATATAAACACAGAAAATAAAAAGTGAATTTTAGACTGCCTAGATGAGTCCGCACAGACATTTCTGTAGTAACACAGACGTTGTTTGGTTGAGAAAACAACCACATCACGCAAACGTTTAAAAGGTTAACATTCGTTAATGCAGCATTCTTTCATACTGGTATGCCATTTTTGAGAGAGAGTTGTTTTATAAGCCTTATAAGCCTTTATGCAGAAAACCTWTTTAGTTCAGCTTTTCAAAAATAATAATAGAATCATTTCTGGGATTATCACCATAACCTTCTAAAACAYAGAGTACAGTTAAGTAATTTATTGGGTTCACAGCTGTTCCAGAAAAGTAGACAAAGTATGCAATAAGACTTAATTMACTTGAGAAACTCTCCTGACCTCAAAACCGATGTGTCAAGTTGAAATCTCAGTTGGACTGTTTTTGTGTTTTTGCTACAACTCTTCTTGTAAATACATTTGTGAAGTTCGGTCAAGTGATTTTAGCTAATGACTCAGTTTTCTGAAGGCCATCAAAGAAAGAGATGGGAAATGGCAAGTAAAATAGTGCTTATACAGCTTCACACACAYACGGATGTGCTGCATCGCTATCTTTGTCTGCTGAAGAAAAGCACAGGAACAGGTATTCTGACGGAAAACAAAGACGTTATTATTCGTTCTGTTGTTGTCTCGCTGAAGCAGTTGTTTGTGTTTCCTAATGAAGTCATAATGAATCGATGACCTGAATTGTAAAGTACAGACAGATAAAGCCAACACAGAGAAAAAAGACGTTACACTTGTCAGACTAGACACTGACGAATTATTTTTCCACTGTCTGCTCATATGAGGTTATTATTACCAGGTGAACACTAATCATGACATCACATTCATGAGAATTTAGTCATTTCGTTACTCTGGAAATATTCAAAGCACCTTCGTGGATGGGGTAGTTTTATATTCATGTTGACAAGTTAAACGTTTATTGTCCGTTTGGAATGTAGCTGATGTGATCGATGTTTGCTGAACGAGCCCAAGAAATGTCTAAGTTGAGAAACCTCAGCTATGCAGCTTTTTATGTATATCTCACCGAGCCTTACGTAGTAACATACTTACAGTCAACCGTTCCCACCAGCAGGCAGATAAAAACCTGTACAAGGCTGTTTTGATGGCAAGATGAAACAAAAATAGGTGTGCTTCGCTGCGACAAGATGAGGCAAGTTGAACCTGAGCAGATGGTTTCAATAGTTTTACAAAAAAATATGTTCTGAACAAGTTGAGGAGACAGGAAGCCAAAGTTTGTATGAGCATGTTTTAATAACTGGGTTTTTTCTGTTTGCTTTATGTATTTTTTCAAGTGGTGGAGCCAGTTGCCAAATACTGTAGTGTTTTCATTGTATACGTTTTCTTTCTTTGTTTGCTTTGGTTTCTCAGTCGCATTTGTCAACAGCACTCAAATTAGGAAGTTAACCACAGTAAATGGACAAACATGTAAGACTAGCTGTTTGTCGAAATGCTCTCGTCAGTTTAACCAGTTTAGAAATGAATGCAGTTTCAGCTGTTTCCATGTGAAACCCCAAGAATAAGAGGTTTTGCTAACTGCTTTAAATGATTTTAAAATTGCAACAAATATCTTAACATTTGCTCAGTTAACAGAGATTTTAAGATTGATGGATTTTGGCAGTCTCTGACAGGTTAAGTATAAGACATGACAACTTCTCATGTTTTTTGAAGATGTTTCACTTTGTATCCAAAATTCTTCAGCCGAAAGAAAAATAACCTAGGTATTTACTCAAATGCCCCCATTTTTAGTCAAAGTTTTTGATTGCTTTCTTTTTCCAAATATATACCGTATTCATTCAAGTATAATATGTAAAATTAAATCCATAAAATCATCCATAAAGTTGGGGGGTAGTACGTAGTACTATACTCGGATAAATATTTTTACTTATGCATTTTAACTGAAATATCGGCTTCATTCACAAAATTGAGTCCGGAAATGAGACCGCGTCGTAAAAATCAGTTGAAACAAGCTTACTCCTGACACTCCTCCGTGCTTCAGAGCGAGATCGTAACAGATCCAGGCAGGCGACATGATGTGAAAAAAGGGGGAAAAAAGTATTCCTGCACCATRGTAATTATAACGAACTAAGGACATTAGTGTGTGACCGGGCCGCTCCTCAAACAACAACAAATACATGTTCGTCTGTAATGGCTGCCATCTACCGGTGTTCTGAAAAAGTTTGTATCCCTGAAAAAATGTTTCCCCACCAGAGGGGGCACTCGCGAGTAGGAAGTAATCTGCTTTTCCCCCAGAAGATGGCCCAAAATTGAAATCTCTGACTTTTGTGTTGGTGCATCCTGGTGGACTATATGTAAAATGCCAGAATTCATATGATGCTACTACAGCTGATATATACAGTATTTGTTGTCAAAATAACTTGTAGTACATATGTTGTTAAAATAAATTGAACAGTCGATTGATCATTTTCCTGATACGTATAAAGACTACAAAGGCTGAAAAATCTTGAAGTCTGTATGAAAATGGAGGTAGTTTGAGGATTAAATTTTATATGCTTTTTAAGCTTTAAAAAAAGGGGGGTCRTATTATACATGAGATCGTGTTATACATGAATAAATACGGTAATTTAAGTAAATGAAAAATAAGAGTGTGGATTGTTAATTGAAGAAAATAAATTCACACATTTGGGTAAAGATTTTCAAAAAAATTTTACTAGTGCAGAAGAGAGTTTTGTCTGTTGCTTTTACAATTTAAAGCTGAATAAAAATCACTGACATTATTTTATATCTCAAACAAAAGAAATAAATAAAGAATGAAAGTAACAGGCAATTTCTTTGTAGATTACACACCCTGTGATGGTGAAGATAGGAGGAGCAATATCCTGTTTTAGCAGGAAGCAGCAGAGATTATGACCTGGGTGAAGTGATAAAAAAAACATGGTACTGTGAGTCAGAACAGGACGTATGGTGGCCAAACTCACTGAGTATCTACAGGATGAAGTGTCCTAAAGGTGGTACAAGTTGTCTGACACGTGCTTGGGACAGTTTTAACTCGAGCACAGGCTGTGATATATAATACTGCACACTTTAGTGCACGTACTGTACTTGTAACCTTACWGTAAAACGTGTATTCAGCTGTATGAATAGAGAAGCATTACTGTTCCCTTCTTAAACCTGCTTCTCATTAAAGTTGTCTGCCGATTGTGTGAGTTTTCCCTCAAAACAATAAATTATGCATATGTTTAACCAAAAATATTATTTTCAAGTCTTTTCTTTTGCAAAGATATACTCCTGACTTTTCCTTTTATCAGAGGCAAACAAAGCTGAAGGTGAACTGGACGATGCATACACCGGCTCTGGATTTGAGAAAATGGATAGTGTGACGGGGCCGTTTTTGTTTTTTGTGCGTCTCACACGTTTGGTTGTGTGAGGTGTGGGTGACACGAACAGGAAGAACAGGTTTGCTGTCAGCACTCCGGAATCACAAAGCGCAACGTTGTTTTTAAGCCAACAGCTGATGAGACCAGAGGAGGCATTTCTTTTTGGTACTCAYCCCTTTTTTTGTCTTTTGGTTTTTCTTGAGTTGCAAGGTTTTGAGTCTGACTGTGGCTGCCATGTCCTGAAGCAGATCTGATCTGTTCCGAACCCAAAACCAGTTTTATGGGAATGCTTTTGAGTTTCGCAAACAACAAAAAACATCGGAATTAACTTTAAATTTTTATTTTTTTTACCTGCAGTAGATAAACTGCTTTAACAGACAGTCACTGCATCCGTAATGTTTTTGAATGAGATGTGAAAGTGTAATTAAAGTGGCTAAGATTCAAAATCCCTGACAAACATGGCGTGCAGGTTTCAATGAAACGATAGCTTAGAGGCTGCTTAAGTGTCTTAAGATGTTGGAATGGCATGCAGTTTGCAACAGGGTGGAGTTTGACTTTTGGACCCAGGCTTTATTTATTGCGCACGATATATCTGTTTGTGAAAGTGGCTCATGCATAACGAGAAATACACTCCACAGATGGCATTCACACCTCATTTACTGTAGTAACATTGCACACCTATGCTTTTATTTTCATGCTCAAACTAAGCTTGCATTGATGGCAGCAGTGAAAAATATAATAAAAGAATGAAATTGTTCAGAAATAAATATAATAATGGACACAAAAGGTGGGTTTAATTTTAGAGTTTTAAAGTTTATATTTTAAAAAGCTGCTTGGGTTGTATTGTATGCGGCCAAACAAAAGGAGACCAAAAACGCAACAAGTGATTAGTTTCCTCCCTGAAATACAACTATTTTTGTAGCCGCTTAAACCTTTCCCTTTTGCAGCGTTAAACTGCTCACCTAACGGAGTTCGAAGCCCCGCATCCTCAACATCTTCAGATTCACAGTAATTTAAAGAATAAATAAGAAATGTTTAAGCATTCAGAAATAAACCTTTTCGATTTTGGCTTGTTAAAACACCTTCCAACCAGCAGAGCTGAGAGAATGTGCCGCCCTACGGGGAAATTAATCAGCTCTCCATTCCATTTCCTGCCAGAACATTAAGGGAAGCTGGGGGAACACCTGACGTATCATGTACAGAAAACTCTCTGTCCATTCTTGTTAATACGCCAACATGCGATAATTGCTTTTGCCATTTTGACTACTAACCTTTTTTTGTTTAGTTTTGTTTATCAGAACAACACAGCAGAATTCAGAGGGCAACAGAATTTTATATTTATCAAAGGTTGTTTTAATGTAAATATAGGTTATGTTTATCAGTTTAGCTTTGATAAATTCAGTTAAAAAGGTTAAATTCTGGAATGAAAGGGTCATGAATGTTGTAGCCACATAACTGCCCCTTTGGAATAAAAAGATACTTGAAAATTGGTACCAGRTTGAACAATAAGATAATAAAATACTAATTCTGCCCCTTGTAGTAGAAAACTGATGATTTGATTATATTGTTTGAGAAATCTGCAGGTTGAGAAGTTTGCAGAATACAATTTTTTAGAGAAGTGGAACGTAAGAGTTTTTATTTGTTTTTTGTATAATTGAGTTCAGTTCTCTGTCTTTGTCTCACTGCAGCTGATTTTCGTATTTTTGCAGCCTCAGCATCTTAGTCTCTGCCTTCAGGACTGGTTTAAGAAAAGCATTTGACTATTTGGCACAGTACAAATGTTCTGTGTTGAGGTTGGTTTAAAATAAAAACAAATACTTTTGTCTTCTTGGTTCGGTGTTTGTGTTTTATTATTATTGTTTTTTTAGTGAGGTAGATTTTAGATTTTTGATGTTTTTATTGATGTCTAAAACTGAAACATGCACAGGAAAGCTTCAAAAATATCACGGTTAATGATGATATGTTGATGGTAAATGAACTCTTTGTCTCTGGAATAAGTCTAAAATGTCTTAAGTGTTCATTGTTAAAATGCTTTGTACTGATTTATGTTTTTATTTTTTAACTTTCAGCCATTTTTTCAACTGGTGAAACTCAGAAAGCTTGGCCTAAGCGACAATGAGATCCAAAGACTTCCACCGGAAATTGCCAACTTCATGCAGCTGGTAGAGCTGGATGTGTCTCGRAATGGTAAGAGAGGAAAGATCGGTTTAGCACAGACATAAGATRAAGTTCTGTATCATGTTAAGCTGTGTTTGTGTTCGCTTCATTCCCTGAATATATTGGATTAAGCAACAGGGCTGAGTTCAGTAAATGAATCACTTTGACAGGTTTGCTCCTCGTTTATGAAACTGATGCAACCGAGCATAAAAACAAAGACTGGTTTGCATTAGCCTCAGTTCTTATGGCTGTTCAGAGCTGTAAAACTAAATTTAGACAGAAAGCTAAATTAAAGTTTGTAGATTTTTTTAGGCTGATTATTCAGTCAAACTGATGCAATTGTATCTGTTTAACCAAAGTCTTAACCTGATTAGTGAAGGACACTTTGAACAGTTGGATGTTGTCCTTTTTGTAAACAAGTTTATTAAAGTTAATTATTGTGCAGTTATAAAATGCAGATTATTGACAGCAGCCAGGTCAGTTTTACAGCCTCCTCAGATTAGTCATTTTAAGTTTTGGCATCAGAGCTGTGAACAAGAGAAAAGGACAGGTGTCCCTATATTGTTTTTGCTTTAAGCAATATTTTAATTTGACCTAAACATTTGGTTTGTTTGTTGACACTAAACTTAAAGGGGTGGTATTATGCAAAATTAACTCTTTGGAGCTTTATATCATGTTTAGTCATTTCCTCATCAAAAACATACCCAGAGTGTTGCTTTGACTCTTTCATGCATGTTTGAGGAATCCTTGAATCTCCTGTAGTAGCCATGTGGAGTTGGTATACAGCACCGCCTATTTGTACAAAGCTCCTCCCTGGAGCTCAGTCTGCAGCAGAGCTACCAGCCCACAGAGCCCCCCTCCCCTGAAGCATTGTTGTGAAGATGAGCTGAAGTGGGAGTATTGTTATATCTGTTTTATAACATTAATATTTGCCTTCTCTTTTTTTTTTCAGATATTATGGAAATTCCAGAAACCATTTCAGGCTGTAAATCCCTCCAAGTGGTGGATTTCAGTGGTAATCCAATAACGAGGTGATTAATATGACACATAAAACAAAAAGACCTACAGCATGTTCATAGAAAAGCCTTTTTAATATGTCTTGTAAAGATATTAGACATTACTTATTTTTTGCAGGGGTAGACATAAGGAAAATTTTGACAAACCAGGTTTTTCACAAAACCTGGTTGTCCGCAAAACATTTTGGTTGTCCAAAAGAATCTGAAGAAAAATGTAATTTAACAAGTATTATTGTTCTGTAGATGAAGTTAATTTTATATAATTGTTCTCAGTCAGTTGACAGGATCTGCATGAATAAAACTTCCTCATTCTCTTCTTTGAAATAGAGTTCAACATTCATAAGCTTCTTTCTGCTCATAGGTCAAATATTTTCACTTAAGAAGGAGTATACTGTGTACATGACCTTATTAAAAGTTACAGTTTAGTGTTCTGTTCGGTTTTACCAAGTTTTTTCCCCCTTTCATTTTTACAATGACGAACACCCGTGACAGAGAACTTTAAGCAAGTTCTTTTTTGCTTGGTTGTCCACTAGACAACCAGAAGACAGGATCTGGTTGTCTGAAAGGAAAATAGGTTGTCTCGGACAATCTAAACAATGGTTATGTCTACCCCTGTTTTGTAAATAGGAATGTAAATGTCCAACATTGTGATTTTGTTTTTTAATCTGCTGATGTTGCAATTTAAATGTTTAAACACTCGACACGCTCCAGGTTGTGTATTTTATGCTTTTCTTTGGGTGAGATCAAGTCCAATTTACACCTCAGCATGAGCATCACCACATGGCTTGACAGTGTTTGGAGTTGTCAGTGGCAGCAGTGATTACAGTTATTTTTGTTAGATGTGTTTTTACACACAAACGCACCACCTTTCTCTGCAGTTTCTCTTCTGCATTAAATAGCAGTTAAATAGATACAGATTCAGCTCTGGGTTCAAAGAGGCTTGATGTCACTTTTAGTCAATTCTAAAAGGGTGAAAACTTTTAAGATACTGTATGGCTGGGAAAACTGATTTGGTTAAAAAAATTGTCTGCTCAACTTCATATGAACACAAGAATAATACAGATTTGCATAGTTTATTAAATTAGATTTCAGTCAAATAGTGTTTATATATACAATCTTTAGCTTGTTAATATGATACTTCATATTTATGCTGTGAAGTCTCTTGAGACTCCTAACCAGCAGAAAATTAGAAGCCATTGTTCCCAGTCACAGTTCTGAGATTTCTTTAGCAACTTAGGAAGAGTATATATAATATGTGCATCTTAAATTTATTTCCCCCAGTTCTTAAATCTTAGTATAATGATCACCTGCATGGTAAATAATTCTTTTAAATTCTCACATTGATTTCTCTCTCTCTCAGGTTACCYCAAAGCTTTCCAGAGCTTCGGAATCTAACATGCCTGACCATCAACGATATTTCTTTGCAGGTTCTTCCAGAAAACTTTGGAAAGTAAGTCGATGTTTTATCATGAAATATCATAAATATCAAGTTTCTCATTTAAATGTTTTTTTTTCTGAGGCTTCAAATGCAGAAAAGCTATCCTGGGTCTTATAAATGGGCAAACTGGGGAAGAAAATATGTGGTTGAAACTCATGAAAACTGTTCAATAATAGAAATAAAAAGTTTTAATAAATTTTTTTATTGGTTATCCCAAGTGTTTATTAGTGACCAAAAACATTCTAAACAATTAATGACCCTAAAATCAGTTTTTCTTGTATTAACAACAGAAAGTTTGACGACAGCACATCGACTTCAACACTATAAGAGTATATAAAATACATTATAAGCATAAATATATTACAATAAATACATTTTAATAAATATTTTTTCCGATGTTAGTTACATGTTAACCAACACATTCATATATTTGATTTGATTATGGCAGTATCAGTTGAGTAAGACTTTGTGGACGGTTTAATTTACTTGTTTGTTACAACACTGGGTGTTCAACAAGCAATTATAAAATCTGTGATACTTTGAGGTCTTCACTGTAACCCAAACCTTTGTAAAGTTAAACAGGAAATAATTACTTTTCTCAGACATGAGCCCTGTGTGAGCCCTTTCTTATTGTTGAGATCAGCTTTAATTTAATTTRATAACACAACTATGTGCTTTTAGGTACCACAGGGCATGTTTTATAAAAGGCTTAGGACTCAARGTTGGACATCACTGGAAAGACCGATTTTATTTTATTTTTTTACTTTAAAACAATCCATACTTTGCAATAAAATTTTATTCTTTACAAGGACCAACATGAGCTCAGACTAGGGTTGTCACTTTCTGAACGGTAAAGGAAATAAAGCACAAGTGAAAATTTTTTGAATTGTGGACAAGTGTTCTGCTATTCCTGCTCCCTTTTTGTTGCCTCATGGTACGGCCTGTCCTCCCCTCACATCTTGTATTTATCTTTTCTAATGTGATGACTAAAGGCCTGCTCTCCATCAATGGGAGGATGTAATGAAAAGCAGAACACAGTTGGAGCCAAAAGCTGCAGGTTTCCCAAAGAAGATAAGATAAATGTACGAGGGGTTAAATGCCTTCAGTAATTTGTCTCTGGAGGTCCCCCCCCCACCCCACACTTGAAGTGTTTTTGGCAGCTTAGTGATCTGCTATTCTTTTGTGAAAGAAATAAACACTCACTAGATTAACTAGAGGTTGTATTTCATCTCGTCTGCCATTTATGAGAAATTTTTTTTTTAGGGTTTAGATTCAAAACCAGTGGGGACATACGCAAAAAAATTCTGTTAAGTCCTTTTGCGCATTGTGGAAGGAAAACAAAGTTGGTGCTGCACTAAATGTACTCTGATTTTCCTCCAGTGTAATAGTTTTGCTGATTGATTGATTGATTGTTCTTGTGCCAAGTAGGATGGACTTCACTTGAAAGGTTATATGTTGTAATAAAATTCTGTATTTGTTGGATGCATGTACACCTTTTAATAGGACTGTGTATTGGCAAGAATGTAGTAATATGATGTGTATCGACACAGGGTCACAGTTTTATATTATTGTGACAAATTGCAATAGTATAGACAAGACTATTTATTGCAATCTATTGCCATTTTCTCCAACAATTCTAATAAAAAAACAAATTAAATGTCTTTAATATGTTTCATATTTTTATTTTATCCGTGTTTTCAATGTTTAGGCCAATTGTGCCATTACAGTTAGTTAATATATTTGTGGAAGCTTTCAGATTTATTTATACATATATTTTTTTTATAAAAAAATATGGTCACCCACCACACTAATAATAGCCTATATCTTGTGGTGAAGTTCAGTAAACAGATGAAAGGAGGCTGTTACAGTCTGTGTTGTTGTCAGGGGGCACCTTAAGGGGGTAGCGCGAGGACGTCAGTCATTTCAGTGCCCTCATTGTTTCATATGATCGTTGCATTTGGTCACTTCATCAGTACTGTCCCTCAGGAACCCTGTTCAGCTCACGCCGCTAAACAAATGCCTACCTGCCTCCCATATTGTGGCAGCTCTGATTATAGGCTACAGTCGGAAGAAAGAGTGTCCCACACTTCAATTTGGCTTAAAATACGGGACATCCTGGCTAATAAGGGTCAGTTGGCAATCCTACCTCAGCTTTGAAGGCAGGGGGTGCCGATCTAATCTACTCAGATTCAGCCATCGATGCTTAGTGCTAATGTTTACTCACAATGCTAACATTTGAGCTAACGTTATACTCGCCAAATGGTTGGCTGACTGCTGCCAACTAATGGCCGGAGGCTAAATTACACCACAAGAATGAACCGCTTGCATAAACATTCACATTTTAAACCTTAATTAAAAAAATAATCTATACAGTAATAAGAAATTAAATATTGCAATAATTCGGTGTATCGATATGTTTTTACACCCCTTATCATTAAGACAGAGAAAGTCATTACTGCCAGAAAATAATGTTGTGTTTAGGTCTGTCAAAGCCATTTAGACATGTTGTTCTTTATTGCAAATATGCTGTGTTTGTTTATGCTACAGCAATTATGTAGCTTTGATAAGATGGACACACCTCCAAAAGACTTCCTGTTCACTCTTATCTGATAGCAAGGCTATATGGCCATTTTTAGCCAGCTATGGAAACTTCTTGATTTCACAACATATAATCATCATGTTTTCTTTTTTTCTTTTCTTTTTTTTTTGTTTCACTGCAGCCTTTCCAATTTGGTGTCACTAGAACTCAGAGAAAATCTGTTGACATTCCTACCAGAGTACGTATCACAATATTTCTGTTTGTGCACAGTTACATCTTAAAGTTAAAAATATAATTTGTGTTTTTTTATTTATTATTTTATTAAAGATACTTTGACCAACTGTGCTTTATGCCATCCACAGGTCGCTATCTCAGCTTCACAGACTCGAAGAACTTGACCTTGGTAATAATGAACTATACAATCTGGTAAGTTTTATTTTCCTTCCTCTATTTATTTGTTTCTCATTAGAATGCTCCGTGGTCTACCAAATGATTAGAATGAAACATTTCCCATATCCTTTATTTTTGTCATGTCTGAACAGATTATCATCCTCTCAGAGCAGATTTTACATCTCTTTATGCAACTGGAATTGATTGTTTTGAGTTTTAAGCTCAGTTATATGTAAATAGTTAAACTCAGATGGTGAATAATTTACAGACAAATGATGCTAGTCTGCCAAGAAATGATATTTTTCTTTTTAATTATGTAATTTTGCTGATAGATATGAAATTTTAGTTTAATGATTAATATATTATATAATATATAATATATGCGGGATGGGACAGTCTCGCCACGGATGACTGTGCCCACTCACACTATTTTCCTTAGACACTTAGGGTGGGGTTGGAGCTGGGATGGAGGGGAAACTGGCATAGTGCTGGCCTCTACCCTGTCTTCTTCCCCATTTTAATTGCATTATAGTACATCACACATCAACAGTACATCTGAGGGTGGCGGTGTGTGTGTGTGTGTCGGGGTCTTCTTTTATTTTATTTCATTTTTTTACTCCCCCGTTCCCCGCTGGCCGTCTGGGGATGGGGACCCGGGGGG